CGGCCGTGGAGTCTTGAGCGTCTTGAATGTCTCGTACACGTTTAGAAGGACCATGGAGAGCCGCAGAGCAGCGACGACGAGAGGCATCGGTGCGTAGGTTGAACCGCCACAAGTTCGTGCCAGAAATTCGATAAGGTTTCAGCCCTCTCGTGTATGCAAAGTAGACAATTTGAAAAAGCCGTCAAAAAGGAAAAGCAGCGACAAGTTCCAGCAACGTTAGCGCTTGCATAGCATCGAGAAATATCAGTCCAAAGGGCGTCGGTCTGTGGCAGAGTTAATGCCGAAGCCAGAAACGCGACAAGGGCGTGGCTTGATTATATAAGCAAATGTCGGGTTCCTCCTCGTGGGGGCGTTCTGTTCGCGGTTACCTCTTTCTCTCTCGGTCTCTGCCCGCCATGCCCAAAATACGGACCAAGAGGACGAAGAATCCGCCTGAAGGGTACGAGGATATTGAAGCTGTGCGTACACGTTCAACAGGCATGGCTCATTCGCCACACTGACACTGGCTTGTCAGATTCTCGACGACTATGCGAAGAAGATGAGAGACGCTGAGAATGAGTCTCATGAGGGCAAGCGCAAGTCGGAGTCTCTGTGGCCCATCATGCGGATATCGCATACGCGCTCTAGGTATATCTACGAGCTTTACTACAAGCGGGAGGCTATTAGCAAGGAGCTGTACGACTGGCTGTTGAAAGAAGGTTACGCAGATGCAAAGTGCGTCTCTTCTGTTCATTCTAGGCTATTGGTAACTAATCTCATTATGCTTATAGTCTTGTTGCGAAGTGGAAAAAACCAGGTTATGAAAAGCTATGTTGCCTACGGTGCATACAAACCCGAGTGCGTCATCTCTTGTTGCCATTCCCTTGCGTGTCACCAATACCCGAAATATAGGACATGAACTACCAGGGCTCGACATGTGTGTGCCGAGTACCGAAAGCCCAGGTACGGGCGGGGACGATCGTAGAATGCGTTCATTGCGGTATGTCCTCTTCACGAGCGTGGCCCAGTAAATTGACTGACTTTCCTTTTCACGGCTAGGCTGTCGAGGCTGCAGCTCCGACTCGTGATACCTCTATCTTGACGTGCCCAATCAAAGGTTGTCTGACGCAAGTACTCACATCTATGTTTTTCGGTCCGACATAACACTCGCTCCAACACCACACCCTCGCAAATTGTCGCATCCTCACCGTGTATTTTAGATTTTTTTGATATTTTTTTGAATGCAAAATATGCCTGTGATTCGCCTTCAGTACGACGTTCATCCTCCGACCTCAGACCCGGGTCAGATGCTCATGCTCATGTTAAAAATCGAATAACTTCGCTCTGCGGAGGTAAAAGCCTGTCAGCCTTCTCCAGGCACCATCGCAAGTATAGCCCCTATTACACCCAAGCCTCCCCAATAGAACTTTCGTCCTCTGCTCCGAACCTATAAGTATCTCCATGATAATCAAACATATTGCTCCTTGGCGCCTACGCACTCCTTGACTCTTGACTCTCACCACCGCCGACACTTTTCCTACGGCGAACGCGCAGACATGGATCGTGTTGTGCGCAGGATGAGCGACATGGCGTTTGGTTTGACGAAGAGAGCTCAGGCTCCTGCGCAGGTAAGCCGGCTTCGCGTATGAGGGGGCATGCTTGGGCCTCCGCAACAGGGAATATCGCAGCTAACACCGCGTGAACTCACAGGCTGGCATTTTCTCTGGAGACAAACCCTCTCAGTATAACTTAAATGATCCTATCCGCCTATGGATCATCCAAGTTAGTGAGTCGACCTCTAGTCTCTCCATGGTCATCCACTTTATTCATGAGATGCGCAGTCATCATCGTAATATTCACGCAGCTCCTTTCGCTGCTTTTGAGCCGAATTCGCCAGCCCAGAGTCATATCCGAGGTCATCGGCGGGTGAGCACTTGTAACGCAGCTGCTGTTAAGCCATATTAAACCCTGAATATGCACCATAGCATCATCCTGGGCCCGTCGATAATGGGGCGTATCCCCGGATTCTCCAACGCCATTTTTCCAACGGCTGGAATGCCCATGCTGAATCTGACCTCGAACATCGGTCTCGTGTTATTTCTTTTCCTGGTCGGACTCGAGATCGACGTGCGAGTCGTAAAAAGGAATCTCAAGTCCTCGAGTCTAATCAGTGTTGCCGGTCTTGTTCTCCCTCTAGGTCTCGGCGCGGCGCTTGGGGTACCTATCTACCACCAATTCATCGACCCCAGTATCAACTTCGGCTACTTCCTTCTGTTCGTCGCTGTGTCCATCGGTATCACCGCGTTCCCCGTGCTCTGCCGAATCCTGACAGAGCTGAAACTTCTTGATACGACTGTTGGCGTAGTCACTCTTTCCGCCGGTGTCGTAAGTTCACAATCTCCGTGTTATTTTTTTTGTTTCTCACAGAAAAAATATCTCAGGGGAACGATGTTGTCGGCTGGATTCTTCTGGCCCTGACGGTTGCCCTCGTAAACGCCGGAAACGGTCTTACGGCGCTCTGGGTACTGTTGACAGGAGTAGGATACGTGATCTTCATGCTGTTTGCGGTCAAGCCAGCTTTCAAGTGGCTCGCGCAGCGCACAGGCAGTCTCGAATCAGGACAACCGACAGCGCTAGTGATGACTGTCACTCTCATGGTTGTTTTCATATCCGCATTCTTCACCGACGTGATCGGGATCCACGCTATTTTCGGTAAGTCGTACTTTGTGTAAGTGCTCAGGAATGGGGTGTTTATGTTAGCATAGGTGGGTTCTTGGCCGGACTCGTCATCCCGCACGAGAATGGGTTCGCTATCGCCATCGTCGAAAAACTAGAAGATGTTGTATCTTTGTTACTCTTACCATTGGTACGCTTACCATATCATCCCAAGGCTGATATTTTTTTCACTCACGTCTCCGCAGTACTTCACCTTCTCGGGTTTAAAGACCAATCTCGGACTGTTGAATAATGGTATCACATGGGGATACACAATTCTCATCTGTGTTGTGGCCTTCTTCTCCAAATTCCTGGCTTGCTCAATCACTGCGAAGCTTACCGGATTCAATATCCGCGAATCAGGAGCAATCGGAGCACTGATGTCTTGCAAAGGGTAAAGTCTAACTACCTGTAATGTCATCCGCCATGACTGAACTCGATCGCAGATTAGTAGAGCTCATCGTGTTGAACGTGGGTCTCTCGGCGGGGATCCTCGACACACGGACGTTCTCTATGTTTGTTGTACACGCCCTTATCCTTACCTTCATGACGACACCGATCACTCTCCTTTTCTACCCTCCGCAACATCGCACTCACTACGGCGTTGTCGTGGAGAAGACATCCGCGCAACTCGACTCCGAAGGAGGAGCTGGGGGAAGCAAGAATATCGATGGTCAGGCCAAGACCAGATTTTCTATGGTGTTCGACACCATACAGCAGATCCCCGCTGCTATGACGCTCATGAACCTCCTCAAATCCGCCCCCGGCTCCTCAGACACAGCTTCTATCGCCAGCATCGTGTCTGACGAGAAGGACGTGCAAGCTCTTCCAGAGCTTCCTGCTCAACCGCCGTCCCGTCCCATCTCCGTTGACGCCCTCCGACTTATCGAGCTGACGGAGCGTACTTCGGCCGTTCTCAAGTCTCAAGAAGCGGACAGCCTTATTCACAGCGACCCCATCGTCTCCATCTTGCGCACCTATGGTCACTTGAACCGCATCGCCGTGTCCGCCGCACTGTCCGTCGTCACCTACGATGAGTTCCCGGCCAGCGTTGCTAAGCATGCCCAAGAATCAGGATCGCACATGGTCATCATACCGTGGGCGAGAGGGACATCCGCTGCTGCCCAAGCACCGGAGGGAGAACATAGCGCAAGCGGATCGACGTACAATCCGTTCGATGGCATTTTCAGCAAATCTACTCCGGTCTCAGTGCCCGACCAGACCTCCTCCACCGTTTACACCCAGTACATCCGACGCGTCTTTGCAGAGTCGCCGTCTGATGTTGCGCTCTTCGTTGACCGTGGTGTCTCGAGTTCTGGGCTACTGAATGGCAAACAGCACCTGTTCCTTCCCTTCTTTGGAGGCCCCGACGACCGGCTTGCGCTCTCGTTCGTAGTCCAACTCTGTGGCAATGCCAACGTCAGTGCGCACGTTGTACGGATAACGAAAACGGAAGAGGTCATCTCTCCAGTCAGCACCATCGAAGAGGCCAAGACTTCCGCAGCCATTCACACCACCGTGAGTCGTCTGACACAAAGTTTGTGATCTCCCTAACGCCCTTTTCTTTTAGGGCGCATTTGCGGACACTGTGTACGGTCAAAGAGACACGCAGACATATCTCGCCTCGGAGACCGCAGACAATGTGCTCTGGGAACGCTTCACATCATCATCTGCAACCCACGCCCCCACCGTAGCTGACGCACTAACCCGCATCACCTTCGCCTTCAACGCCTCGCCCAGGCCCCTTGCTGAAGTTGTCGAGACTGCCGCGACGCAGCAAACGCACTCGGGGTGCACGCTCGTCGTCCTCGGACGGTCGCGGCGGCTGGCTGTGGAGTCGCATCAGGCTGAGCTGCGCGACCTGATCGCTGCGAAGGGAGGGTCCGTCAGCAGCGAGCTGCCGAAGACGCTCGGCGACGTAGGCGCTGCGTTTGTTGCTTCCGGGTCGACAGCAAGCTTGCTGATCCTGCAGGCTACTGCTTGAGATACCTTGTCACCATCTATTGTCTTCCGCTATCTTTCTCTGTAATGTTTAGTACGTGTGCCCAATCTACTGTGCTCTCTTTGAAACCTCAAAAGCCCAGCTTGCCTCAAGCCTGACACTGCTGCCAAAAAAGAGGGCATGAAGTATTATTGGTGGATGCCGATCCTGTTACTCAGTGTTAGCGCGGTGTTGTGTCCACTGTCGACCGGAACATTGTTTCCGCTTCGCAGAGGAAAGCCTTGACCTCGCCACAGGATGGTGAAGGACGGCAAAAAAGACGGCAAAATAACTTTGCGCACGTTGACCTGTCGGGCTTCAGCATTGCCAGAACCGTGGATTGAACACGGGACCTCCAGAAGACGGAATACTTCAGTCTGTTGCTCTCCCAGCTGAGCTATTCCGGCAGTACAGAACAGATCAGCCGTTGATGGAGCCATATGGGAAACGAAACCAGACTCACGACTTGGGCCAGGACAACATAGGCGTCCGCGGTTGGTCCGCGGCAAGACTTTTCGAGGCAAGATCTCGGTCTGCAATGAATTGCTAGGAAAAGGGAAAAATACGCGCTACTTCGCGAATCGCAATTTGAAAATCTTGGTTGGGGTGGACCAAATTCTGTGCGGAAACTCTTGTCTTGTGAACCTCATCCTAGCTTGCCCAACGGCGCGACGGGTGTGCCTATGCACGACCCTTTACTACTGCCCGTAAGTCGCCTTTGCTCTCGACTTAACGTGATCGCCAGCGGTGACAACGTCGTATTTCGGAGGTCGATCGGGTGACACGCAGCTCGGTATCGGCTAGCAGTTAACGAGATCAGCCTTAATACCGATATAGAACATAGTACAAGCCTTGCCTCAAGTCTGACATCGTAGTCAGTTCCAAAAAAGAGGGGCATAGAGTATCGGTCGACCCCGGTTCTGTTGATAGCGCGGTGTCGCGTCGACCGGAACACGTCGTCTGCATAGAATATGAAGGCGTAAGGGACTTTAAACTGGTAAACGTCTCTGGGCACGCACTAGTCCACCGCGCAAACTGGTCGCCGAGACTGAACAATTAAAATTAGCCGCGGCAAATGTGGAGCGAAAGGCCTACTCACTTGATCAGCAGCGTCCCCGGGATGGGTGGGGCATCGATCCACTTGTTCTCGGCATTCAAGACCTGCAGCGCTCGGATGCCTGGTTCTTGCCACAGGATGGTGAAGCACTGCAAATGGGTGGTAAAATAAATGCACGGGCAGACACATAGCTGTAAGGGTTTACCTCCCAGCTGTTGATTGAGGTAAAATGATAGCAATTTCAAGGAATTGACGACTCACTCTGTGTGTGCGCCTATGCCCGATATTCTGTCATCGATAGGTCCAGTTTGGGGAGGATAGTGCAGGACACGCATAAGGGCTGCCGAGTTCTTCGTCTGGAAGAAAGTAGACTTGCAGGCGCCCGTACGGATCGCATCATACGATGATGCTTACCTTATCGTCGAAGAACGTCTCTGGAAGGTCGAGCGCCAATGCGAACAAAGGAAACAGAGCTTTACCCAGCGTAACGGCGGAATGGCTGTCTCAAAGCGTCAAGATAAATCAAAACGAAGATTGAAGAACGTTGTTGGACGCACTAATATTTAAGCAAGGCACTGCGCAAATGAGGAACCTCATCCGGCCAAACATTGTCGCCAAAGTCACCGTGTGCATGTTCGTTCTTCGCCGTTGCGTCGAGGTCTTCATACCCGAGCAAAAGGCCTTCGTGTAGGTCTCCGTCACTATCGGGGTCGATCTTTCCTCGCAAGATACCGTTGTAGCCCTTGATGCTGCCTGTCTTCCTGATATCAAGCTGCGTGTGCATGTCAAAATTGAACGGATATAAAAAAGTTAAGGCGGAAGAACCTTCAACTTGGACTCGAGAGGTAGGGCAAAGAATTCCTTCGACGCCGATAAGGCGTCGTCGATAATTTCTTCCGATATACCGTGCGCTCTCACTACACAAGTTGTCATCAACAGCTCAGGTTGAGACGGTGATGGTGGCGTACCGTAGAGAAATCCTACATCAATACATGCATCTCGTATCTCTTTGGCAAGGTCCCTTCTGCGGGTTGGGTCAGAGGCATGCTGAAGGTCACTGTCAAAGGTAATAGTCACCAGTAATGTCAGTGCTTTCAAGTTGCTACATGAAAAATCACGCACATAATTGGCACACCGGTGAAATTAGATTGCTTCTCTACAGCGATGTTCACAAGAGACATCGGGAGTTTTGAAGGTGGGTTCGTGCGGTCTGCTCAGTTGCAGGCCGTCAACTTGAACGATAGCGTGCAAGTCTAAACGCTTAAACAGGGCTTCAGGGGATCGTAGCTCAGAATGGGAGAATACCCCCTATGCCAATCTGCACCAAAGCGGCAGTGTCGCCGCAAATTGTCTTCGGCTCACGACATCTCTCCATGTGCGATACCTAAAACTTATGAGGTTTGTTTACCTATCGAATGTCGTATGTGTCTAGGAACTACTGCACCGAAAATGTAAGTAAGAGAGCGTCAACCTCAGTGCGTGAGTCGGGAATCGCGCCAGTTCGCCTCGTGTTGTATCAGCGGTCGTCGTTTCGTCATGAACTCTGCCAATTTGTACGTACTCTTTCCTACTTTGCAAAATAAGGATCCTGGAAGAGCTGCGGTGTACAAAGATTTTGACGATCATAGCAAGATCAGAGACGAAAATGACTCCACGGCGTCTGAATCGAGCGGACCACGAGGTTCACTGCAGTTTGCACCTTCAAGTTAACCGTGTCCATCACCAGTCCATCACCGTGCTTTTTCTCTCGTTTTACCTCTATCGTCCTGACATATCGGTGCCGTTCTTAGTTCTTTGGTCTGACTCAATCTTTGGACGGCTGAGTCGGTGCGGCCTTGCGCTGCGGACGGTTATATCGTCGCACGACGATGTCAAACCCCCCTTTTCGTCCGCGCAGAGCCCATCGCAAACGCATCTCCACTTCAAGGCTCTCCTCGGACACCGTCACAACGCTCCCAGAGTACACATCGCCGCCGTGGAACACTAGACAGCACGTAGTGGAGTTAGACGAGGACACGCCGTCGGACAGGCCACCAGATTACCCTGAAACAGACAGTGCAGAGGAGGGCGACGCAGACACCGACGACGAGGACGAGCATACTCAGACGGTCTACGTGCCACAGCGCGTGGCGTCGTCGCCATTTCCCGCAGCATCACTGCCTACTTCACCCAGGCGCACACGTCGATTTCCGCAGACACACAGACGGCAGTCCGCCTCAACCCCCGGCCCGTCGCTCGACTCGCTTCTTGCGCGCAGTGTGCACGCACTCGAGATGTCAAATGCCCTGCTGCAGACATCGTTGTCTCCTCCACCGATACCCGATGACACTGACGAGTACGCGACTGAGACTTCCGCGCGTGGGCTCTCGAGGCGGACAAGCAATGGCAGTGGGCTGGGGATTCGCAGGTTTGCAGAGTATGAGCCACGCCAAACGCAAGAGAATTGGATGGATCATATAGATGAGATATCAAGGGACGTAGACCTCTTGTTTGGTGAGTCGGACGCAGGTGTCAGCAGAAGCCTCCCTACGACGTCCAGTATGCATGCTGTGCGCCGCCGTCCTTCTCGCAATCCCGACAGCACACCCGCTCTGCGCCTTTCAAACGTCGATCGCAGTGCCCTCATTGCCCCTCCCCCACGCGCCCTCACCCAATACGTCGAATCCGGTGCAGATCCAGCATCCATATTTCTCCCATCTACGCTTGGTCTGCGTGCTTCTTCATCGAGCCATTCCTCAGATGTCTGGCCTTCTCCCGAGTTGCCTTCGTCAAGCCGACGAATCGGCTTTCATGCAGCGGCGTCGGCATCTTTGCCAGTGCTCACCGATCGGCCATCGGAGCCAAGTACGCCAGCTTATAACCTTCTCTCCTCTTTCGTTAAACGGCCCTCGTCGTCCGTATCACCCTCATTGTCACGTTCATCCTCCATCACATCCCCCTCCATATCTTCCTTCTTCTCCCGTCGACGACGTGGGTCGAATAGCACTGAACGGCCGGCAATCGGTACTCATACATCACCCACGCGCGGCCGTTCATCCTCCTCACGCTCGCGGTCATTGACACCTACCCAGCGTCCCTGCTCCTCTCATACCCTGCCTCGCCCCATGACCCCACCTATCGAGGAACTATCGTCATCCTCGGACTCCTCGGCCCACCCGACGGGTTATCGCACTGTCCAATCCCTCCGCAAAATCCTCGATGAGCAGCCAGCCCCGCCAGCCCCGCCGCCGATTCCACGTCCGCGGTTCATGCCGCGCACGCCACTGCCTGCCGCCACGAGCGATACCACTACCACGACTGCGAGCGTTTCCCGCCTCTACACGCGCGCAAAGCACCACTCGTCGACGCGCGCGCCCAGCCCGCCGAAGCACTCCTCCATGAAGCGGTCCAGGCCGTCGACCCCCGCGACGCCGGTGGGCGAGCTCTTCCCCAGCGGGCAAGCGAGCCAGCGAACGAGCGGGCGCTCGACACCGAAACGCATCAGCTTCGCCGCGCTCCCGGAGTCGTACGCATCGTCGCGCCCGGGCTCGTCGCGGCGGAAGAACAAGAGCCGCGACGGGAAGAAGGATCGGGACCGGGATAAGGAGGGCGTCGGCGGGGGCTGGTTTAGCTCTTGGCTCCTGGGTGCCGCGGCTGTCGGTGGAGGGCCGGCAGTCCCTTCGAGTGCCGGGGCGCATCACGAGGAGCGCGTGGAGGAGCGGATTGGACGGAGCTGGGGCGGGCGCACGGGGATGGGCGCGGGGCTGGACGATTGGGCCGTGTAGGCGGGGACGCTATTTAGCTGGTAATTTATCAATTCACTCATGGTATCTGTTACGACGTGTTCACGATCTTTGCTCTCACATTCTATTTTCCTTATCCTTTCCGCTCACACCGCATGTGTTCTATACGCATCACCTGCATTCCTCCTACACTCCTTCCTCCCTTCCTCCGTTGCGCTTCCTTCCTACCCATCTCGCTCTGCTATCCCAAGTGTCTTGTATCGGTATGACCAGTTGGTCTCGTCTTGCGCGCTATATCTGTTTTACTTACCCCCCGCATATGTGCATGCTATACCAGGCTACCTCAATACCACAAGACTTCATGATTCCCTGCATCCGCGACCGTTCCAACTGAGTGACAAAACATGGTGTCCATTGAAGCATAATTGGCATGGCATAGGTACCAGATACAAGAAAGGTCGCATAGAAGGCATACACATAAAACATATCCACCACTTACCAAAAAGACAACCCATACGCGCATACAAGGCCGCCAACAGCACCCGCCAACACAAGTTGCAACAGCCCCACGCTTGCCCAGCCATCCGTCGGAGGCGCTAGCATTCCAGGCATGGCCTCTAATACTGAC